TTCAAGGGTGCTGGAATATTCCATCTCTTGGTATGGATGCTGGGCCTGTAGGATATGTTCAATCTGAAAATCCATCCACCAGACATTTACGAATCATGCCCTTTCCTGGATGTATATTACACATCAATAACAGCTGTTTGTTTGTTTGTTTGAGACAGAGTCTGGCTCTGTTTCCCAGTCTGGAGTGCAGTGGTGCAATCTAGGCTCACTGCAGCCTCCACCTCCCAGGTTCAAGTAATTCTCGTACCTCAGCCTCCCAAGTAGCTGGGATTACAAGCATGTGCCACCACACTGGGCTAATTTTTGTATTTTTAGTAGAGATAGGGTTTTGCCATGTTGGCCAGGCTGGTCGCAAACTCCTGGCCTCAAGTAATCCACCCACCTCAGCCCCTGCAAATCACACTTGCTGGGATTACAAGTGTGAAGCACTCTGCCTGGCCCGATAACAATTGTTTTAAAATTGAAAGTGGTATCTTAGTGATACCTAGGGGAAACTGAGGCACTGCAGAATGAGAACGTCTTAGTCGGCTTGAGCTACTTAACAAAACACCACAGACTGGGTGGCTTCAACAGACACTGACTCCTCAGTTCTGGGGGCTGGGAAGCCCAAGGTCAGGGCTCCGGCTGATGGGTTCTTGGTGAGGGCCCTCTTACTGGTGTGCACACGGCCACCTTCTCACTGTGTCTTCACATGGTAGAGAGAGAACAAGCGCACTGGTGTCTCCACTTAGATGGCCACTAATCCCACCAGGGGGCTCCTGACCCCATCTCCCCCTGATGACCTCGCAAGGACCCCATCTCCAAATCCCATCCCACTGGGTGTTGGGGCTTCGGCATATGAACTTGTGGTGGGGGGCACAAACATTCAGGCCAGAACAGGATTCCCACCTGGCCCTGGCCTCTGCTCTTCCCCTAATGTGTCTTGCCTCCTGCTTCCCCTCCAGAGTCCGCCATGGAGAGGGACCGCTACATGAGCCCCATGGAGGCCCAGGAGTTCGGCATCTTAGACAAGGTTCTCGTCCACCCTCCCCAGGACGGTGAAGATGAGCCCACGCTGGTGGAGAAGGAGCCTGTAGTAGCAGCGCCGACGGCAGACCCTGTCCCAGCAAGCACCTGAGAGCTAGGCCTCATCTCCAGAATCACATGGAGGGGCCAGAGGCCGGCCAGACCCCCGGCTGGGCCCTGCTTACCCCTTGCTGCTGAACCTGGAGGGGCCTCTTGAGGAACTTTGAATTTGCAAGGGTGCCCCCTACGGACGGGGCATTCCGGCGGAGACACTGTGATTTTAAATTAAATCTTTGTGGTCTTTGCTCTGCGTCTGAGACACCCTCCCTCTCTGCACCATGACAGCGTGGACGCGTCCGTGTTCCACACGCCCCTTCTGCATCTTCCCTGACCCCAAGAGGCAAGCAAGCCATCCCTTCCTTCAGCAGATTCTCCTGATCATGTCCTGTATCCCAGGCAGCGTTCTTTTGTGAAGAAAACACAAGAAACCACCCTCAAGGAGCTCCATTCGTGTGGGGGAGACAGTTATTTAAAAAAAAAAAAACGGGCCGGGCGCGGTGGCTCAAGCCTGTAATCCCAGCACTTTGGGAGGCTGAGGCGGGTGGATCACGAGGTCAAGAGATCGAGACCATCCTGGTCAATATGGTGAAACCCCGTCTCTACTAAAAAAAAAAATACACAAAATTAGCTGGGCATGGTGGCGCGTGCCTGTAATCCCAGCTACTCAGGAGGCTGAGGCAGGAGAATTGCCTGAACCCAGGAGGCGGAGGTTGCGGTGAGCTGAGATAGCGCCATTGCACTCCAGCCTGGGTAACATGAGTGAAACTCCATCCCCAAAAAAAAAAAAAAAAAACGGGCCAGGTGCAGTGGCTCACGCCTATAATCCCAATACTTTGGGAGGCTGAGATGGGTGGATCACTTGAGGTCAGGAGTTTGAGACCATCCTGGCCAACATGGTGAAACCGCATCTCTACTAAAAATACAAAAATTAGCCGGGCGTGGTGCCAGGTGCCAGTAATCCCAGCTACTCAGGAGGCTGAGGCAGGAGAATCACTTGAACCTGGGAGGTGGAGGTTGTGGTAAGGCAAGATCATGCCATTGCACTCCAGCCTGGGCAACAGGAGCAAAAAAACTCCGTCTCAAAAAAACAATGGACCGGGCTCGGTGGCTCACGCCTGTAATTCTAACACTTTGGGAGGCCTAACTGGGCAGATCACTTGTCAGGAGTTCGAGGCTAGCCTGGCTAACACAGTGAAACCCCATGTCTACTAAAAATACAAAAATTAGCTGGGCATGGTGGTGCACGCCTGTAATCCTAGCTACTCCCGAGGCTGAGGCAGGAGAATTACTTGAACCAAGAGGCAGAGGTTGCAATGAGCAGGATCACGCCACTGCACCCCAGCCTGGGCAACAGAGCAAGACTCCGTCTCAAAAACGAAAACAAGAAAGGGCATGCAGATGTGAGGTGAGCGTGTTACAGTTTTACATGGGTTAGTCAGGGGAAGCCTCACTGAAGGCGGTGTTTGAGCAAAGTCTCAAAGGAGGTGAGGGATGGAGCCTGTGTCCAGGCAAAGGGTACAGCCGGTGCAAAGGCCCTGTCAAAGGACCGTACCTGGCATGTGAAAGGACCCACAAGGAGGCCCGGGGCTGAGGGAGGGTGGAAGAGATGAGATCAGAAAGCAGAGGAGAAAATTAGCCAGGTGTGATGGCACGCTTGAACCCGGGAGACAGGTTGCAGTGAGCCAAGATTGCGCCACTGCACTCCACCCTGGGTGACAGAGCGAGATTCTGTCTCAAGAAAGAAAAAAGTGGAGGTGAGTAAGGAGGATAGATCATAAAAGGCCTGACATCTAAAAGGAGGGAGGTGAACCATGCAGGGTTTTGAGAAGAGGGAAAAAAAATAAGGATGACTACAACTCCTGAGGAGTGCACCACGAACAGAAACTGGAGAGCAGTTGGCAGAGTTGGAGTAACCCGGATGAAAGCTGATGGCAGCTCTGGCTGAGTGGCAAGAAAAAGTCAGATTCCAGCTAGGTGGGATGTAAGAGCAATTTCCAAAAACTCCGAGCTGATGGTACAAAGCAGTCAGGAGGATGGAGACCCATCACCTGAGGTGGAAGTGTAGAGAAAGGAACAGACTTGGGGTGGGGATCAGAAGCTGATTTTGGATGTATTATAATCATACCTGGTGCCAGATGCGTCCCTCGACGTCAGGGTCAAGAGGTTGAAATAAAAACGTAGGTGGCATCGGCGTGTAGGTGAATTAACGGTCAGACTGAGCCCTGGCTAGTGGATTCGGCGCTGTGGATGTCACTGGCCGCCTTAAATCAGGGCATTTCCTGTGCCGTGGGAGCCAAAAGCCAGGCTGGAGTGGATCCAGAAGGAATGGGAAGAAACATATCAGAGACGGACAAGTCTTTTGAGGAATTATGCTAGCAAGGAGAGCAGGGTTGGGGCGGAATGTAGCTGTAGGGAGAAATGGGGTCAGTATTTTTTAAAATTCAAGCATTGGGGCAGGCGTTTATACTCAGCAGTTAACAGTGTTTGCACTTTTTATTACAGACTTTTTTTTTTCCTTCTGGTGGGAAACAGAGTCTCGCCCTGTGGCCAGGCTGGAGTGCAGTGGCTTGATCTTGGGTCACTGCAACCTCTGACTCCCTGGTCCAAGCAATGCTGCCTCAGCCTCCCAAGTAGCTGGCATTACAGGCAGGTGCCACCACAGCCAGCTAATTTTTGTATTTTTAGTGGAGACGGGGTTTCATCATGTTAGTCTCAATCTCCTGACCTCATGATCCGCCCGCCTCGGCCTCCCAAAGTGATGGGATCACAGGCATGAGCCACTGCACCCAGCCTCATTATGGACATTTAAAATACATACAGAATTACCCAGAGCTCTGAAAGGCTGAGGGGAGAGGATCACCTGAGCCCAAGAATTCCGGGTAGCGAACTATGATCGTGCCCTTGTACTCCAGCCTGGGCAGTAGAGGGAGAAAATAATTAAACATTTTATTATTATTTTTATTCTGTAAAAAAATAATAAAATATAGACTGGGCATGGTAGTTCACGCCTGTAATCTCAGCACTTTGGGAGGCCGAGGTGGGTGGATCACCTGAGGTCAGGAGTTCAAGATTAGCCTGGCCAACATGGTGAAACCCCGTCTCTACTAAAAATACAAAAATTAGCCGGGTGTGGTAGCGGCTGCCCATAATCCCAGCTACTCGAGAGGTTGAGGCAGGAGAACCGCTTGAACCCTGGAGGCAGAGGTTGCAGTGAGCCAAGACTGTGCTGCTGTATTCCAGCCTGGGTGACAAAAGTAAAACTGTCTCAAAAACAAAAACAAACAAACAAAAAAGTTGGGCATGGTGATTCGGTGCTTGTAATTCCAGCTATTCGGGAGGCTGAGGCACAGGAATCGCTTAAACCCGGGAAGCAGAGGTTGCAAATCTCTAGGACCCGAGAGTACCACTGTGCCGTTGGTGACACTGTGTCTCAAAAATGAATAAATAAGTGTAATCAAATATATACAAAAGTAGAGAAAACAGGGTAATGAAACCCCACTTACTTATCACACCAATTCAACAATTAATTCATGACCAAATGTGATTCTTCCCTATCTGACCCGGCCCCCACAGCCTGGGTTTATGGAGAGGCAAATCCCAGAGGTATTTTCATCTGGTTTTGGTTTTTTTTTTTCAGTTTGCATTTGTAAAATAGGAGGGATCTTTTTTTTTTTTTTTGAGACAGAGTCTTGCTGTGTCGCCCAGGCCGGCGTGCAGTGGCTCCACCTCGGCTCACAACAAGCTCCGCCTCCTGGGTTCAAGCAATTCTCCTGCCTCAGTCTGCCTAGTAGCTGGGATTACAGGCACGCACCACCATGCCCGGCTCATCTTTTGTATTTTTAGTAGAGATTGAATTTCATCATGTTGGCCAGGCTAGGCTGGTCTCTAATTCCTGACCTCAGGTGATCCGCCTGCCTCGACCTCCCAAAGTGCTGGCATTACAGGTGTGTAGGGTCTAGCCCTACTAGGGTCATGGGGTGTCCCTATTGCTGTACTGAGGCTCTGGATCTGAGAAATAAGGAGACAGGACACAGAAGGACAAAGCACAATGCCACTTACAAGCAGAGACAGGCGAGGCCCTGAACGTCCAGGAACGTCTGTATTTACTGGGTATAGGTTAGGGGGCAGGGTAGTGAGTGAGGTCATTTTAATGATCGTGATAAAGTCAAGACAATCACGTAAGCAATAAACAAGGGGTCTACCCCCATTAGGTCACCAAGGAGGTGGGCGGTATGCAGTGTGCAACATCGCTTATCTATTGGCAGGCTACTTCTTTTTTTTTTTTTTTTTTTTTTTTTTGAGACAGAATTTCGCTCTCGTTACCCAGGCTGGAGTGCAATGGCGCGATCTTAGCTCACCATAACCTCCGCCTCCTGGGTTCAGGCAATTCTCCTGCCTCAACCTCCTGAGTAGCTGGGATTACAGGCACGCGCCACCATGCCCAGCTAATGTTTTGTATTTTTAGTAGAGACGGGGTTTCACCATGTTGACCAGGATGGTCTCGATCTCTTGACCTCGTGATCCACCCTTGGCAGGCTACTTCTAAGGATATCTATAGGAGAATGCTCTGAGTCAGCACAGTGGCAAAAGAGCTGACAGGTTATACAGCCACCTGCTGGCAGCTCCCAGTGATTTCTATAGGAGGATGCTTTGAGTCAGTACAGGAGTAACAGAGCTGTCAGGGTATACAGCCACCTAGGCACGATTATACCGGAGGGGTTTTAAGCCCTAGGACGCTCTCGAGCTTGCCTACCTGAGGCTGGCTTCCCACAAGAACTGGATGCAAGGTACTACAACTCCCGTACAGGAGGAGTGACTCTTGCTCCAAACCTGCTATACAGCAGGTGTCTTTACAATACTGAAAGCTGGCGCCTGGGCCAGCCTGCCATGTAGTCTGTTGCCCTTTCAGGCAGGGGCACTACCATCTGGGCCATAGATTCTTGTCCTGGTATAACTGTTTTTCCCTGAAATCATGCTCTGCACCGTGTGTGCTCTAGACATTCCTCCAGCTAGAAGCAAGATATGATTTTATATATATATATACATACATATATATATATATGGCTGCTTATTCCTTAATTCATGCTCTGTGCTGTGTCTGCTCTAGACATTCCTCTATGAACTAAGATACAATTATATGTGTGTATATATATAAGGAAATAGCTGAGTAATAAGATATTCTTCAGGCACTAATTGTTCCGACTATAAACTAATACATGATTATATATAAAGGAAATAACTGAGTATATAAACTATAAACACTATAAACTAAGATATTCTTCAGGCACTAATTGTGCCAGGGATCTGCTTAGCTCTACTGCCTCCGTGCGCAGATGAGGGGTTGCACACAAGGCATGAGCCACCGCAGCCGGCTGAGGAATCTTTAAAGCAATAGTAATATGGAGACAGGGAAATGAATGATGCCTCGCTTTGGCCTTTGACCATAAGCCCTAACTGTGGATATCTGGCCCCACCACAAATATAATCGTGGCCTTGACGTCAGTCCCCTGACCCCCGGACCCCTTATCTCAGCCTGACTGTACTCTGCCCTTAACCTCTAGCCCTAGTCGACTCCAGAACCGTGGCCTTGGCCACGATCCCCCTGACCTCGGACTTCAGACCAGATACTGCCCATATTCCCTCGTGAGGTCTTCGCCAAGCAACTCCTACCTTGTACCTTTTCCCTCGAATGCGTAAAGAGGCAGTGCTAACCTGCAGACGGACTTGCGACTCAGCCAATGGTTTAAGCCGCTCTGGAGTGGCGCCCAATAAGCTCTCAAGACAGGAGGACGATTCTAGAAGAAAGCCAATAGCCTGTGAAGGCGAGTCTGGCAGCAACCAATAGCCATGAGTGAGAGGCGGGACTCTGAGGGAAGCCAATCGCTGGAGGGCGCTGACACAGCTACAGCCAATGGCTTTTGGCGGGGGCGTTCCCCGACCCCGGCCGCTTCCATGACCCGGCTACTGGGCCATGGCCGGGACTGGGCTATGGCCGGGACTGGGCTGCTGGCGCTGCGGACGCTGCCCGGGCCCAGCTGGGTACGAGGCTCGAGCCCGTTGGTGCTTAGCCGCCTGCGGGACGCGGCCGTAGTGCGGCCTGGGTTCCTGAGCGTGGCGGAGGAGGAGACGCTGAGCCGAGAGCTGGAGCCCGAGCTGCGCCGCCGCCGCTACGAATACGATCACTGGGACGCGGTGAGACCAGCGGCGCGGGGGTAGGGGGCGCGGCCTCGGGACGCCGAGCACCGGATGGGGCGAGAACACGCTGGGGGCAGTCTCTAGGGCGGGGATTTGGGGCGGGGACAGAGACGAGCGGCGGGGCGGAGCCATGTTGGGGGCGGGGACAGGGGAAGACCAGTGCAAGGATGGGCCGGGGCCACGCTGGGGCGGGCACAAAGGAGACCGGTGCAGGATGGGACGGGGCCACCCTAGGGGCGGGGCCAGAGGATTCCAGCATGTATGGGCGGGGGCGGGGTCACGCCGGGGAGGGGCCACGTGTGGGTTGGGATAGGGAAGACGTGCTGGATGGGGCAGGGCCTTGCTAGGGGCGGTACCTAGCGCGAGGATTTGGAAGCCGAGCTATGGTGGAGGCGGGGCTGAAACTCCGGTAGTGGGAGGGGCGGGACTTGGGGGACGAGGACATTGGTCAGGGAGCGCACTTTTGTGATGACGCCAGGGCCATAACTGGAGGCAGGATCTGGAACTGAGGGGTGTTTGGGACCAAGGTTAGGGGTAGAAACGGCTGTGGAATTAGAGGACGTTGAGGGACACAGGACACTTGGGTGGAGTCAAGTTGTAGGGAGACTCAGCCAAATGAATATTGGGGCCGGGCCAGCACTGGGGACTTGGAATTGTAGCCTCAGGGTGAGTACTAAGGACTGAGGTCACACCTAGGTAGGGCCATGGTTGGGGGGATAGCGGGGTTTGAGTTGAGGGCAGGATCAAGAGTCGCACTAGGAAAACCAGCCCCTTGCCCTGTTTTCTGCGCCTCCATGCCTCAGTGTCCCTGTTCCCTCTGGGAGCCTCCAAGCTTGACCAAGCTGTTTGTGTAGGCTATCCACGGCTTCCGAGAGACAGAGAAGTCGCGCTGGTCAGAAGCCAGCCGGGCCATCCTGCAGCGTGTGCAGGCGGCCGCCTTTGGCCCCGGACAGACCCTGCTCTCTTCCGTGCACGTGCTGGATCTGGAAGCTCGGGGCTACATCAAGCCCCACGTGGACAGCGTCAAGGTGGGTAGAGGCCGGCGCCTTGGCCCTTCCAGCGGGGGGGGGGGGGAGGGGGGGGGCGGGCGGGCAGCCCAGGTCGGAGCCTGACCCATCCCTTCGTCCCTTTTGCAGTTCTGCGGGGCCACCATCGCTGGTCTCTCTCTCCTGTCTCCCAGCGTTATGCGACTGGTGCACACCCAGGAGCCCGGAGAGTGGCTGGAACTCTTACTGGAGCCAGGCTCCCTCTACATCCTTAGGTACCTCCATCCAGGCAGCCCCCACCCATCCAGGAATGTGTGACACCAACCCAGTGCCCTGGGTACCTTCCCTCAATCCACCCCTCCCCAAAGACTCAGCCTCTACCCCAGGGCTTGTGTGAGAGGCAGTGGGGGGCTGGAACCTGGGTCTGCCTGGATAGGGGGCTGTCCTCCCTGCACCCAGTTACAGCCTGTTTTTTTCTGCAGGGGTTCAGCCCGTTATGACTTCTCCCATGAGATCCTTCGGGATGAAGAATCCTTCTTTGGGGAGCGCCGGATTCCCCGGGGCCGACGAATCTCTGTGATCTGCCGCTCCCTCCCTGAGGGCATGGGGACAGGGGAATCTGGACAGTCACCCCCAGCCTGCTGACCCCTAGCTTTCTAGACACCGGATTTGTGAATAAAGCTGGGAATGGACAACCCAACATTGCATTGGCTGCTTACTGGAGCCAGGATCTGCAGGGGAACCCAGGATGGCACTGGCCCACAGGGAGCTCAGGTGCAGCTGGCTGGATACAGTCAAGGTCACGAGGCCAGGAGAGTGGTGTCCTTTATTGCACTCAATGCTGATCGCCCCAGCCCACTCCCATCCTTGTCTCTGCATCCAGGTCTCCAATAAGGAACTCAGCCAAGCTTCCCCAGTACTGCAGCTCCTGGGTACCAGACTGGGCACCCTCAGCCGACACAGCTGCAGGCAGCCGCCGAGAGCTGGGGCAGCCGCTGCCAGCGGTGGCGGTCGTCAAGGAAGGCCACATCATCGTAGCGGGTGGGCTGGCAGCAGGGCCCGCCATGGGCTTTCCCCTGGCCTTGCAGCCGGGCCAGTGCCAGGCCGTGCTGGGTACGGGCACCCCGGGGGCAGCTGCCGGCGCAGTAGCGGAAGATGACCTTCTCCTCCGAGGCATAGCCCAGGCCCAGCTCTGCCACCGACAGAGTCAGGCTCCACAGCTGGCACGGACCGGATGGGGCTCTGCGCAGGCGGGTGAGGGGGCGGTGAGTGGCTGCCGGAGAGAAGGGTGCTGACAGTGAGCAGGGTCAGGGCTGGGGTAAGTTGGGAAGTCACAGAGGGTCCCTGGGAGTCCTTACCCAGCCAGGTTCCTCCAGCCTCTGCCACCTGCTCAGACGAGAACTCTCCATTGGCCACAGGAGCCCCATGGGCATCAGGATCCCAGCCCTGTCCCAGATGCAGGGACAGGAGCAGCACAGAGCCCAGAAGGACCTTCCCTACGGCCATTGTGACGGGCAGGTCCTGAGGGTGGGAGGTGCGCCCCGAATTTATGCCCTGCTGGGGCTGGGAGCTAACTGCTTCACTGCCGGCCCCTGCGGCCAGAGGGCCCCACGTCTGCACCAGCTTATCTCCTACGCCCTGGAATCCAGGCATCCACTCCTGCCCCACACCCCACCCTTCTAAGAATTAAGGGCTCACCCCCAGCCCACCCCACCCCGACATTCCACACACCCACTTCCGACACCCCAGACACCCCCTGATTTATGAGTGCTATACTGGCAGCCAGGGCGGGCAACTCGTGTTCACCCCGGCCTGCTGCCTGGAGCAAGAGTCAGGGGCTTCATCGGTCCCCCAGTGGGGTCCCTCTCTACTAAGTCAGGGTGCTGGGATTCAGGAGCCCTCACGTGTGTCCTGTGCCAGGTGGGACGGATGCGAGTGCTGGGAAGGGTGGCTTGGCAGGGACCGAGTCCACGGGAACTCTCCTTGGTGGCTCCTGCCTGGAGGATTAAGACATCATGCCCCTGTCTCCGGGCCTGGCTGAGCCAACTTCAAAACAGGAAAAGGGAGAGGCCTAGGGAAAGCCAAGGGTGGGGACACAAGGGGGCAGGGACGCCTGTCTCGGGAAGGCCAACCTGAGACCCCCATAACTGCAGCCCCTTCCTGGGATGTGAGCATGTCAGAGCCCACAGGGTGAGGGGAAGCCATCCAAGTCATGGTAACCTCTAGCACGATGCTGACAGTGAGATGCAGGCTCTGGAGGCATCTGCACTCAGCCCTGTGAGCCCAGTCCCCTCACTGGTACAGGGGAGCTCATCAGAACCCCTCCCACTTGGCTTGGTGAGGAGAGATGGGTGCTTAGTGTTTAAGGCGGTTCCCCTAGCTTTGAATGCAAAAACAAGCAAACAGCTTGTGACTGTCCAAAGGGGTGCTTGACCCTAAGCACCCACAAGATGGGGGAAAATCAGAAAACGCTCACACAGGTGTGTGACCCATGTGTGCCCTGTGCTGTTGGTGTGGGTGTAAATTGCTAACAGCTCTTTGGCTGAGCAGCTGCTCAAGGGCACAGGGGATCCGATGCTTTCATGTTAGGAAAGACTGGAAGTGACCTCAGCTCCATCCATGGGGGGGCTCCCTCGATGATTATGTTGCGGTTTCTTTTTTTTTTTTTTGGAGTTGGAATTTCACTCTTGTTGCCCAGGCTGGAGTGCAGTGGCACGATCTCGGCTCACCAAAACCTCTACCTGCTGGGTTCAAGCAATTCTCCTGCCTCAGCCTCCTGAGTAGCTGGGATTACAGGCATGCAGCATGACAGCTAGTTTTGTATTTTTAATACAGACGGGTTTTATCCATGTTGGTCATGCTGGTCTCGAACTCCTGACCTCAGGTGATCCGCCTGCCTCAGCCTCCTAAAGTGCTGGTATTACAGGTGTGAGCCACCTCGCCCAGCCATATTGTGGTTTTTCTTACTGAGATAAGTTTCAGATGGAGAAAAAAGCCTGCGCACAGTGGCTCACACCCATAATCCCGGCACTCTGGGAGGCCAAGGCGGGCAGATCACCTGAGGTCAGGAGTTTAAGACCAGCCTGACAAACACGGATGTGGGTAACACCCCCAGGGGCACCAAGGAGGAGAACCATCCAGACCCCAGGCACAATTAGGGCCTGAGGAATATCTTAGTTTATAGTGTTATTACTCAGCTATTTCCTTCATATAAATCCTTCATATATAATCATATATTAGTTTACAGAATTAGTGCCTGAAGTATAACTTACTGTTTACATATATCTAGCTTATACAATCATACTTAATACTTACATCTAGCATACTTAGTTCTATATAGTCTTTCAATATAATCACATAGGTATTGTAGTCGGAGCTGTACTGACACACTTAGTGCTGATTTACAGAATCCTTCCACATAACCATATAGTAGTTTGTAGTAGGAGGAATGCCTAGAGCAGTCACAGAACAGAAGCAGTACATGGGAAAACAGCCAGACCAGGACAAGAACCAAAGACCCAGGCAGTGGCGTCCCTGCCTGAAAGGGCAGACGCTGTATGGCAGGCTTGGAGCAAGAGCCTCTCCTGATAAAGGAGTTGTAGCACCTTGCATCCAGTTCCTGTGGAAAGTGGGCCTCAGGCCTGAGATCCTGGAAGTAACCTAGGAAGAAGAACCCCTCTGTGTGACCAGTCACGGCGGCTGTACACCCTGTCAGTCTTTTCTCACTTCTGTGCTAGCTCAAATCATCCTCCCATAAATATCTTAAGAGAAGAGCACAAGTCTGTCAGCTCCCACTGCACTGGCTTACAGTATCCTTCTATTAGAAATCCTTTGAAGTCTCCAGCCCCCAGGTAAGAAGTGTTGTGCACAACACCTGTTGCACACAGCCCCTCCTTGCTTCAGTGACCTAATAAGGGTGGACCTCTTTTCTGTACAGGACCTTCTACTACTGCGCACGGCACGGCCCCCTACTGTGCACGGCCCACCTCTCTGCCCAGGTGACATAATGGGGTGGTCCCCTCGCTTGGGACTCAGGTGATTATATATGCCTTATTACTAAGCCTATAGATGATGACCTCACTTACGATCCTTCCCCCTGCTTGTACCTAATAAATACAGATGCTCTGGGGCATTTTGGGGCTGTCACTGATCTCTGCTCACAGGTGGCATGGCCCCCCGAGTCCAGATGCTCTTCACCAGTTCTTCAGTGTCCTGTCTCTTCTCTTTCCTGCACCTCAACACAGCATAAGGGACACCGCACGACCCTGTGGGGCCCCAATAGCCCTACACATGGAGAAACCCCATCTCTACTAATTTTACATGCCGGTAGTCACAGCTACTCCCGGAGGCTGAGGCAGGAGAATCGCTTCAACTCGGGAGGCAGAGATCGCAGTGAGTTAAGATCGCACCATGCACTCCAGCCTCGGCAACAACAAACTGTCTCAAAAAAATATAAACACAAAATCCAAAAATTAGCTGGGCGTGGTGACAGGTGCCTCTCATACCAGTTACTCAGAAGCCTGAGGTAGGAGAATTGCTTTAACTTGGGAGGCAGAGGCTGCAGTGAGCTGAGATGGCACCACTGCACTCAGCCCTGGGTGACAGAGCAAGCCTCCATCTCAAAAAAAAAAAAAAAAAAAAAATTAAGCAACGGACCTGGCATTTGAACCCAGGTCCACCTGAATGCAAAGCCCCTGCTCTAACCATGGGGCCACACGGCCCAGCCTCCTTGGACAAAGGTCCAAGCAGTGGGGACGGCTGGGGTGAAACCGCCAGGGCAGGGGCTCCCTCCAGAGCTGCCTCCCTGCTGCCCAAGAAGGCCTGGTGGAGGAATGGGGAGAGTCTGGCCTGAACTGGGACATTCCGAGGAATTAGCCTGACATCTCAGACATTCCTGCTTAGCAGCCAAGGGCCGCAGAACTGGGTGGGGAAGCTTTCCATCTGCAGTTTCCAAACACTGGCAAGATGGAAGGAAGGGGTCGCCCAGAAGATGAGTTCAAAAGTGGGTGCAGCCAAATTCTAATTCCAGCCACACTGCTGTCCAGGAACTGGAAAAGCCCGCCCTTCCAGAACCTGGCAACGCCAGATCAAATAAATGATGACCAAGCTTGGAGGAAGGGAAAGAAGGCCCCGAAACATCACAGGGAACCTCAAACATAGGGTTCCGCAATCGGGGGTTTGGCTTTGGTGGCCACGTAGGGACAGAGCCTGCAAGCCGAGAACCACACACAAAATGGGCTGGGGCTGGCCCTCCTGGGTGGCTGGTGCAAGCCAAGGTAGAACCATCTGGAAGGACTGCCTGCAAAGTAGGCCACCCTGGATTCCCACAGAGCCCCCAGCTGGCCATGAGCATCCAACTCCAAATCACAAGAAAATCTATCATCAAGGGGAGTCAGAAGAAACACAAGGAGGCCCACGAACTTCAGCTTCTAGATACGTCAGACCACAAAGTAAGGATGCCTAAAATGAAAACATTAGCCGGCGAAATGGTACACACCTGTGGTCCCAGCTACTCACCAGCCTGAGGCGGGAGGACTGCTTGACCCATGAGTTCAAGACTGGCCTGGGCAATACAGTGAGACCTCATCTCTACAAGAAACTTTTTTTAATTAGCTGGGCATGGTGGTGCACACTACTTTAAAGGCTAAGGCGGGAGGATGGCTTGAGCCAGGGAGGCAGAGGTTGCAGGGAGCAAGCAGTCCAGCCGGGGCAACAGAGCAAGACCCTGTCTCAAAAACTAAAAAATAAAAACATGAAGGACAAAACCAAAACCTAAGGAACAAGACATTATCCAAATGTCTGTTAGAATACCAGATCTAAAAAGGAAACAAAGAAATCTAAGCAATTTATTTACTTTTTTGAGACAGAGTCTCACTCTTGTCACCCAGGCTGGAGTGCAGTGGTGTGATTTCAGCTCATGGCAACCTCTGCCTCCCAGGTTCACAAGAAGCAATTCTTGTGCTGAGAAGGCTGAGGCCTCCAGACAGCTGGGACCACAGGCACCCACCACCATGCCTGGCTGCTCTTTCTATGTGTGTGCCAGGGTCTTGCTCTGTCACCCAGGCTGGAGTACAGTGTCACCAACATAGTTCACAGCAAGCTTGAACTCCTGGGCTCAGCCTCCCAAGTAGCTGAGACCGCAGGCACTCACTATCATGCCTGGCCAAAACTGAAGACCTAATGGGCTACGTGGTAGATGAAGTCACGGCTGAAGAGAGGCCTAAGGAAGTGGAAGGCAGAACTGCTACCCAGTGGGCAGCACAGGCCTTGGTCAGCATGAGGGAGGCTGAGCAGGGAGAAAGAGGACAATAAGAAGGCCTACCAGGCAGCTGAAGATTCCAGAAGGGCCAGAGGAGGAAATGGCTTAAACTTTTCCAAAATTGCTAACTCTGGGGCCCTGGCAGTCAGGGAGCAGGACGGCAAAGGGGCAGTGAGAGCCCGAGAAGTTCTGGAGAGCAGAGCTGTGTATTGGACAAAGGCTCACTCCTTGAGGGAGAAATGCATCTTATCGTTGATCATCTTGCGCTCGGGGTTGAGGCGCTTGAGGATCTGGGCCAGCACATTCACCGTCTGGTCACTGCTCAGCCCCGTCTTCTTGGTCTGGAATTTTTTCAGCAGGTCCTTAGTGGTCATGGGCTTCCGCGTCAGGTAGCGGCGCACGGCGTCCTCAGTCACCTGCACGTCTCTGTGGATGGGAGGGTGGGGAAGGCGGCATCAGCGAGACTGTCCCGGCAGCCCTGGCTCTGCCCACTGCTCTCCTCGCCAACTTACCCGCTGCTGGGTGTCGACTTGCCGGATGGTGGCTGGGGAGTCGACTTTCCGGACAGGCTCTGGGGCCCCGCGTCCAGACGTAACCGCTTGGCTGCAGGCGCCTCGCTCACCCGCTTCCCTGTGGGAGTGGGGTCAGGGCTGAGTTGTGGGGGCAGGAGGCCGAACCCCTGGGCAGGACCCTAGGCTGGGCAGTGCCAGGATTAGGGTTTAAGGGAAAAAGGGAGGGACAGTCCTCCACTCCCATGTGCATCCCCTCTCTGTCCTGAGCCCCAAAGGCAGAGGTCGGGAGGCCGTGGCTGTGGGGACTGCAGAGCAGGTGCTCACCTTGCTCGAGTTTGCTGGCGGCGGCACGCAGGGTGGAGGAGGTGCTGCCGCCCTCTGTGCTGGGCGTGCCCGGGCGGCTGTTGCCCCTTGAGCTCCCTCCCGACAGCTTCCGCTCTCTCTTGGGCGGTGTCTTCTTCTTCTGCAGAGGTCAGGGTGGGGTGAGGGTGAGGGGGCTGAGTCTAGAAACGGACAACCAGGCCTCCCTCGATGCCAGGCTGGGCCTTACCGCCATGAAGAGGGCCGAGGAGGCCTCACTGTCAATGTCACTCTCCTCTGAGCTGTCTGATTCATCGCTGCTGTCTGCGGGGCACAGGACAGGGGTCAGGGCCCAGCGCCCACCCGTACCTCCACTGCAGATGAGGGAGGTCTGCAGAGAGGGGAGGAGGCAGCAGGGTGCCAGGGCCCAACCCAAGCCTCCAATGCAGGGGCCACAGAGGCCACACCTTTCCTGCGCTTCTTCTCCTGCGGGGTGGGCGCCTTCTTCTCCTCCTCCTCCTCCTTGTCCTCCTCAGGTGGCTTCTCCTCCTCGCTCTCCTCGCTACTGTCGCTCTGCTCATCGACGCCTGCGGGGACAAGGTATGAGCACCCACCCCGCGCCCCCCTCCCCCATCTCCCGCCAGGGCCTGCCCAGCCACCACCTACCCTTGGGCCCCTCCTCCTGCTGCGGCACCTTGGCCTTGGTCTCAGGCTCTTCCATGGAGCTGCTGTGAGACAGGGATGGGGGAGGGTGAGTGTGCTCCCTCGGGGCACATGGGGTCTCGAAGCCGCCTTCCGTGGGCCTCACCTGGAGCCGTCCGACATGTAGTCCACCTCCTGGCCCTCGAAGTCCCCATCATCGCTGTCCTCGAAGGCCTCATCATCTGAGCCCTTCTTCTTCTTCTTCTTCCTGCTGCCCTTGGCCAGGGGCGCCTTCTTCTTGGCCTTGGGGGCTCTACCACCTGGAAAGCAGGGAAAGAAAGGGAAGAGGCGCGGCAGCGGGTATGTATTGTGTCCTTCACATTGTATGCAGTTTGGGCACCTGGGGGGGCCTCACCAACTGGGGGGACTGCCTTTCCAAGGCCAGCCCAGAAGCTCAACTCTCCTAAACAAACTCCCTGTCCAGACTCCACACACCCACCCATGTTCTCTAACGCCCACAGACCACTGCCTCCCTCTCCCAGACCACCCCTGGCCAGGCACCGATAACCAGGGACAGCCCTACAGCCTGAGCGCACAGATTACTGAAACTGGCCAACCCAGACTACGGTTTCTCATGGGAACCCCGGTAAAGGCCACAGCCAGGCCAGGTGCATCGGCTCACAGCTGTCATCCCAACACTTTGGCAGGCTGAGGCTGAAGGATGGCTGGAGCCTAGGAGTTCAAGCCCAGCCTGAGCAACACAGTGAGTGAGACCCCAGTCTCTACAAAAACTACAAAAATTAGGCTGGACACCAGGGCTCATGCCTGTAATCCCATCACTTTGGGAGGCTGAGGCAGGCAGATCACCTGAGGTCGGGAGTTTGAGACCAGCCTGGCCAACATGGTGAAACCCCATCTCTACTCAAAACACAAAAATTAGCCGCGTGTGGTGGTATGCACCTATAATCCCAGCTACCTAGGAGGCTGAGGCAGGAGAATCGCTTGAACTTGGGAGACAGAGGTTGTGGTAAGCCAAGATTGTGCCACTGCACTTTTATGAGCGACAGGGCGAAACTCTGTCTCCATAAAAAAAAAAAAATTAGCCAGGCGTGGTGGGGGGCAAGCCTGTAGTCCTAGCTACTCAGGAGGCTGAGGTGGGAGGATCACTTGACCCTAGGAGGTCAAGGCTACAGTGAGCCATGATTGGACCACTGCACTCCAGCCTGGGCAAAAGAGAGATCCTGTCTCAAAAAAAAAAGCCAAGGCTCAGCCCTCCTGGGCTCTGACAGGCTCTCCTTGTCTCCTGAGTGACATCACTGCTCCTCTGGGCAACCTCGCCTGACTCTCATTCTTTTTCTCCGAAACAGAGTCCCTCTCTGTTGCCCAGGCTGGAGTGCAGTAGCACGATCTCAGCTTACCACAACCTCCATCTCCCGGGTCCAAGTGATTCTCCTGCCTCAGCCTCCTAAGTAGCTGGGACTATACATGCACACCACAACGTCCAGCTAATTTTTGTGTTTTTATTAGAAACAAGTTTTACCATGTTGGCCACGCTGGTCTCGAACTCCTGATCTCGATGATCTGCCCGCCTCGGCCTCTCAAAGTGCTGGGATGACAGGCGTGAGCCACCGCGCCCGGCCCCATGAGTCTCTCATACTAGAGCCACTGTGCGTGATGGCAGACCTTGCCTTCAATGGCACCGCCTGAGCAGGCACCTCTGTGACCTAATGCCCGGCCCCCCATGCTCACCCTCCTCACCGCTGGCGTCACTGGCATCAGACGACATCTCCAGGTCGTCCTCCAGGTCGTGGATGCGCAGCTCGCTCGCCTTCCTGCGGCCGCGCTTCTCCTTCTCCTCCTCGTCCTCGTCCTGGTCCTGGTCCTTGAGCCGCCGCTGCTGCATGATGCTGAAGTGGTTCAGCACCTTGTTCCTCCTGCGGGCCAGGCACAGGGAACTCAGGCCAGGGACCACCCTGCTTCTTCGCTGGCACGGGGCCAACCCCGGGGGCACCACCCACACAGCCTTCCATGGGATTTGGTCCCCGGGCACTGGGGCTATGGCCCAGGACTCCCTGAAACCACACAGATACAGCTGGCCCTTCCTGCCTTCCCTCTCCCCGAGAGTTCCTCAAAGAGCAGGTCCCCACACGCTGCTGGAGTATTAGCACCTCCCTCCTGTGACCTACAGGAACCAAGGGGGCACTGAGACCCCACCCTGCTCTGCCAATTCCAGCTCCAGGTCGCCCACTTTGGCTCTGGCAGAGCCCCACTTTGGGCCTAAGGCCTCGCATCTGTTTCCTCCTGAGCTGACAGCTCCAACAGGGCCAAGTGGGGTCTGCCCTGGTCACCGAGTCCCCAGCTCCCCCAGCACAGCACACGGCAACACACCCCATTTTCCCTCACCTCTGTCCCCAGCCGCCACCCAGCCCACTCACCTCTCCCACTCCTCCTCAGCCTCCTCAGCAGTGAGCGTGCGGTGCCGGGCCAGCGGCGTGAAATTGTACCAGTTGTGCACGGGGAAGGCCTCAAAGGCCCCGTCGGGGCACTGGGTGAAGATATAGTAGGACGTATTTTCTGTCACGCCTCCCTTCTTGATGCCCTTGAACCTGCAGGGAGCCATGGTCATGGCCTGGCCCAGAGGACCAGCCCCAGCCCTGTGTGTGTCCCCCTAGCCTTGATGGTACGTGTCAAAGGAGGAGGACCACGGAATGATGAGCCCGTGCAGCCTGGCAGCCCCCCCACCACCTGAGCCTTATCCATTTCCACATCCGGGGAGCAGGCCCAGCGCCTACCCTGCGAAGTGCCGGATGTGTGTGCATCGGTGTCATTTCTGGAAAGACCAAGTGAGATTATCCCAGCCCTGCAGTCAGCCCATCGGGACCTGCCTCCAGCACTGCTACTTGTGGGCCACAGGTGGGAAGCCCAGGACCCAGGTCGGGGGATGGAGCAGGAAGACATGGCCAAAAAAAATTTTTTTTTATGGAGTCTTGCCCTGTCGCCCAGGCTGGAGTGCAGGGGCACAATCTCAGCTCACTGCAACCTCTGCCTCCTGAGTTCAAGCGATTCTCCTGCCTCAGCCTCCCGAGTAGCTGGGATTACAAGTGTTCGCCACCATGCCCAGGTAATTTTTATATTTTTAGTAGAGACAGCGTTTCACCGTGTTGGCTGGGCTAGTTTTGAACTCCCACCTTGGCCTCCCAAAGGGTTGGAATTACAGGCATTAGCCACCACGCCCAGCCATGGCATGGCCAAATCTGAAGTGGACACCTGGCCCGGGCCACCATTCCCTCAAGCCTAAACAACTGCCCAGCCTCCTCGAGGCCTCCACCTCATCCTCGTCTACCCCAAATGTCCAGGCAATCTGGCTGAGCACCCTTCCCTGCCTATGGCTTTCCAAGGCTCCACTGGGCCCAGCGCGTCCTGGCAGCCACTGCCCTGTGTGAGCTGCCTGTGTCTGTCACTATCACACACTGTGCGCCTGGAGTGCTGTTCATCAATCTGACCTGTACGCTTCCTGTTCGGCCCTCAGCCTGCCCCCTCTGAGAGGTCTCAAGTGTCATGAACCACCCACTGTGGCACTAATCAGAGCCGGGCACAAGCACCAATTCAGTTCATCTTTTTTTTTTTTTGAGACAGCCTCATTCCGTCTCCTAGGATAGAGTGCAGGGGCACGATCTCAGCTCACTGCAGCCGCCGCCTCCCAGGTTCTAGTGATTCTCCTGCCTCAGCTCTCCCTAGTAGCTGGGATTACAGGCACATGCCGCCATGCCCAGCTAATTTTTTGTATTTTTAGTAGAGACGAGGCTTCACTACATTGGCCAGGCTGAAACTCCTGACCTCAAGTGCTGGGATTACAGGTGTGAGCCGCCGTGCCGGGCCTCAGTTCATCTTCAAAACTAGAATCCCAGGGCCTAGGCGGTGGCTCACACCTGTAATCCCAGAACTTTGGGGGGCCAAGATTAAGAGGATTGCTTGACCCCAGGGGTTCAAGACCAGCCTAGGCAACACAGCAAGACCTCATGTCTACCAAAAATACAAAAATTAGCCAGACATGGTGAGGCACGCCTGCAGTCCCAGCTACTCAGGAGGCTGAGGTGGGAAGATCTCTTGAGCCCAGGAGCTGGGGCCTGCAGCAAGCTATGACCGCACCCACTGCACTCCAGCCTGGGCAACAGTGAGACCCTGACTTAAGATAAATAAAAAAGTAAGACAGAATAAATAAATGAATAAAAAATAAAACCCAGCCAGGTGCAGTGGCTCACACCTGTAATCCCAGCACTTTGGGAGGCCAAGGCGGGTGGATCACCTGATGTCAGGAATTCGAAACAAGCCTGGCCAACATGCTGAAACCCCATCTCTACTAAAAATACAAAACTTAGCCGGACGTGATGGCGCTCCCCTGTAATCCCAGCTACTCAGGAGGCTGAGGCAGGAGAATCGCTTGGACCCGGGAGGCGGAGGCTGTGGTGAGCCAAGATTGCGCCACTACACTCCAGCCTGGGTGACAAGAGTGAAACTCTGTCTCAAAAAAAATACATAAATAAAAAATAAAACCCCACAGGGATGAAGCGCCAGCACCTCCACTACACCAGTGGGAATCTGAGGTTCAGAGAGGGCACCCCACGAATGACGCAAACTGAGGGAGGACACGGACTGGTCCCCAAGCCTGCACTGCCACCGCCCCACCACTCACTTCCTGCCGGATTTGCCGTTGACGCGGAGCAGCCAGGGCTGGTCCTCGGGCCGGAACTCCTTGAGGACGATGCCGAGCTTCTTCCTCCGAGCCTCCTCCCGGAGCTTGCGGTTGAACTCGCTGCCCGCGCCTGACTCGGCCATCTCCTCCTCTTGGTAGATTTTCTTGTTGCTCAAGTCCCGCTCCAGCCGGGCCTGGGGGCACAGGAAGCAAAGCCTCTCAGGGTCCCCGGCTGCGCTTGGGCGGTGCCCCCGTCCAGGAATGCCGTTCCTTGTGCTAGGCCGGGCTCTAGATGCTCAAAACCAACTTCCCACCGGGCAACAAAGGAGAATGGTAGCCCTTGGTGCATCTGGGTAAAGGGAATTTGGGCCAGCCTTGCATTGTGTCTATTTTTGCAACTTGAAAGCTTGAGATTATATCCAAATTAAAATTAAAGAGAAGGCCGGGCGCGGTGGCTCACGCCTGTAATCCCAGCACTTTGGGAGGCCGAGGCGGGTGGATCACGAG